AGGGAAAGGGGTTCCCGCAGGCGCCCCCCCCCCGGGGGGGGGGGGCAGGGGTGATTTCTTGCTTTCTGTCTCTCTGTTTCTCTCTTTCTGGCAAGTGCACGCGCCCTATAGCAAAAGCCTCTGAAAAAAAATTAATAAAAAAAATAAGTAAGTTAACCATATCCAAGAGTTTTTATATATACCAGCAATAATAATTTAGAAAATGATTAATGTAGTGGAATATATTAATAGGAACAAATATCACAAGTATTGTTAAGTAAGAATTACAGGAGGCCATTGTTTTAAACTAAACTCTTGCACTAGGCTCCAACAAACCAGACCAAAATGGAGTCACATCATCAAATTGAAACCTCAAGGAAGTAAATAGATTCCAAAACTAACTAGTTTTTCCTGAAAATGGGAGACTCCATTCTACACAAGTTAGCAGTATAAGGAAATAAAATTTATATATGTGTTGTGGCTTTCTTAGGAATGTGAACTATTGGTCCACTTCATCTCTTGGTGCCAGACTTCTGAAATAAATCATCTGAAATAGCTCATGCTGCCAAGATGTCGTCAGACTTTTGTTTTATGGACATCCTTATTGCCTGAAGACATTCCTCTTGTACCTTCCATCAGTTATGTAGTCCTGCTTTCCTCTCTAACAGAAGAAGCCTTTGTCTTCATAAACCCTGAATCTTGCCCCTTTCCTTTGGAACACTGACTATCAGAATCAGCTTCCAGGATTGCGGTCTCTAAGACCTCAAACAAACCTTTTCGTTCTTTACAGATTCTGTATTTCAAATTCATTGAAAGAGAGTGGGGAGATAGCAAAATGAAGCCATGCAACTTTTGGAAGATGCCTAATGACGACACAAGGTAGCAAACCTACACATGAATGAATCCCTGGGATCGGGGCCTTCCTTCCTCCCTTCACCTCCCCCCATCTCACCCACCATAATGGAGCCCTAGAAAAGCAGCTTTTCACACTCCTCTGTGGACTCAGGTGTTGATTCCCAGTTCAGGGTCCCACAGGGGTGGTCTCTAGCCCAAGGAAATTCAGTGTTTGAGATTTATTGGCAGTATCTATAATATAAAAACTTCAAAATGTACCAGGCCTGTATGAGAAAATTATAAAACTTTTTGAAGAATATAACAGATCTACAGAGAGACAGAGATACCTCTTTACTGGGTGATAAGATTTAATACTGTTATTATAATTTCTTTCCAAAATTAATTTGGTACACTTAAGAGTCAAGACCACAACTGGAATTTTGTTGTTGTTAAAGAAACTTGTCAAACCAATTCTAAAGTTTGTATGACAGGGAAATTAAACAACCAAACAAACGAAAACAGCAACAGAAACACCAACTTATATATCATAGTTCTGGTGAAACTGACCTATCCATAGGTTTGTCTACTGAGTATAATTACTACTTATGAAAAGAGGATTATAGCTCATTTGGGAAAAAATAAGACATACTTTCCATTAAAGATAGCAATTTAATAACATTTTTTCAACAGTACTTACCTCCAAGGGGTAAGTAAGAGAGAGTGAAGTTGCACCAGCCAAACAACCGGAAGCAAATCTCTCATAAGGTTCTAATCTGGCTCCTTCATTAGCAATAAACCTTTTAAACTGCAAACAAAAGGTCAAAGGTACGATAGTACTGAGAATTCTCAGTGAGAATATAACTTATTCAATATCAGTCATTGTCTGGACATTTAATTTATGGCTTAAAACCATAATGCACATTAGCCACTACCTAGGTATAGTCATGTATTTTAGATAAAAATCTTCAACCTTAACAGAGACTTCATCTTGTACTTCTTTTATCTAGAATAAGGTCAGGCAGACATTTAGTAAGTGCTGGTTATGATGAAAAATTTATAATTAGAGTGGAAATAACAGATTCTTACATGATAAGTTGTGATGACAACTGTGTCAAATTTTAATGAAGCAACATGATATCACAAATAAACTCAGGTTTCAGTTTTAACTTGGTCAGTCACTGAATGACTGACAGTGTTTCTGTAACTTAATTATTTATCTAAAAAATTAAGGCAAGTGCCTTGTCTGTGCTGGTCAGTATTCTACCCACAGTTCCCACTTTACAGGATTGTGGTGATCACTAAATACAGTAATGCAGACTGTGTAAAGTGCTTACAACATAGAAACTAAAAAAAGTGGTTATTATTATCATTATTATCACTATAGTGGTCATTATAGCCATATGTTTAATGACAATAAATTTTCCATACAGAATAGGTTTTCAGTAATATATTTCTTTGGCCTCTGTGGACTTTATTTTAGCTTCTTGTTGCAAGTCAATCAGTGCATCTTATCACTTTGCCAGAGTGATTAGTTCAGGGATGGAAAAATGGCACGATGTGGACCAGTGAGACTCTAGGAAATGGTGTGAGGAAACTTCTCAAAAAATGCTCCCTTGCTCTTCTCAGAGGACTGCAAGGAGAAGCAGCTCTCTTTCTGATACATAAGGTCAAAGACATGTGAACCCTTGAAAGTTCCCAGAAGTCATCACCCAATCATAAGGGGAGAGCAAGTCTTAGGATAAAGCACTCAGTAGAAGACAGAGAAGAGATGGGGGAAATGAACTCTTTGGGGACACTATTAAACTACGAAATGAAACCTCATTGGAATCCACCTTACTTCTGGGCTCTCTAGTTACATGAGAAAATAAATTCCCTTTATAGTATAAGTCATTTTCTGTTACTTATAACCTAATGATTCCTAACTGATACAGGTACCTCAAGCTCCACGTGCTCCAAATGTAATATATACCTTTTTCCTTCTTCCTCCTTGTGTTCTGCCTAAGGGACACTGATGCTTTTTATGGAAGAGTATACTGTGAACAGTTTGTCTGTGGCTCTGTCACATGACAGTCCTGCCCAAGACTTCCTTATAAAAAATGGCCACAGTTGAACAAACTAGAACCTTTGGTATTATCCTTGACGTACCTTTTTACCTTGCATTCCAAACAGTTATAATAATATCTACTCTGCTTCCTAAATATCTTGGGATCTGTTCACCTGTCTCTCCACTGGCATCACTCTCAGCTCCCCCATGGATTATGGCATACTGTTCTAACTAGTCGCCCCACATATACTTTGGCCCCTTCCTCACTTTGCCTACCTACCTCTTACTCTTTTACCACCAGGGTTTTAAACATGTTTCTCCCTCTAGCTGGACCACTCTTTTCTCTTTGAGTAGAAATTTTCTGCTTACCCTTTGGGTTTCAACTTAAACATTAACTCCTCAAGACCCTCTCTAATCCCTTCAACCTAGTTTGGGTGTTTCTGTATCATTTTCCTACAATATACTATATTAGGCTATAGGAAATATTGTGACAACTGCTTAATAAGACCTTACTATGTGCCAGGCCACTTGCTACGTAGATAATATTTTCCACATTTTATGGATGAGACAGCTGAAGTTGAGAGACATCATGGGAATTTACTTGGATAGAATGTGCCAGAGCTCAAATTCAAATAAAAGTCTGTGATCTCTAAAGTCCCATTCTGCCAATTGCTTCATTTTGTCTTACTTCATTGAACCATATTCCTATTAGAATTCAGTGAACTTAATATATTATTATGAAATTTCCCTTAGGATCCCAAATTAATCATCTATCATACTTTCTATTAAGGGAATATTAAGACCAAAAAGAAGGAATTTCTTTTAAAAATAGTGTTGGAAACTAACAGCATTATAATTACAAAATAATAATATAATGGCATACCATTATAATAATGTTCCAGTGTAAACATTAACAACTCTATCCCTTTGTTTTGTAATAATATGAGGTAATTTTCAAAAACAAAATGTAATGTCTTGTAGTAAGTGTGATAGGCATATAGCTTTACCTGTTCATAGGACCAGACCTTAACAGCTGTTTCAGGAGCAATCTTGATGACATTCACCCCATTTCCTCTCCACAAAGAAATGACTCCACCCTCTTTTACCATCTCTATTAAACGACTCATTATCTTCACCTTCTTTGTTTCTAAACTCTGAGCCTTTGAAAGGAAAGAAAGAACTTTGAAAAATCACAATATGATTTAAATAACTTTGAAAAATCACAATATATGAACTTTATGTGGTAGGCAGCAAAGAGTTAAAGGCCCCAAAATATTGAAAGTCTCCAACTGGAGAAGCAGCAGCTGTTGGGTGATAAGACAGCTTTGGAGGAATGTTTTTGTTCCCATACTATGGCTGAAGGAGAACACCTTAAATGTGGGACACAGATAAATGTGCCATAGATATGATTGCTTTGTTTCCTATTCTTCAAGGGGATGAACCAATGACTCTGTCATCATAAAAAGAATGAGCCAGTTGCAAATTTCAGCAGAACAGTCAGGGAAGAGATGGGGGTAAGTTAAGATCACTCAGACTCAGAATGTACTACAAACCAGGAACTGTGATGCCTTTTAAAAGTATAATCAGTATGGTCCATGTGCAAGAGAAAATAAGATGAAATCTAACGAATTCTATGGCCAAGAGTCCTGAGACTGCTCCAAGGTCCATATTGAGAAAGGGATATTCAGTGTAGCCTTCAAAGAGCATCATCAGAGAATGTGCCCTATAAATTGACTATTACAAAAGGAAAGTTAAGCCTAGACCAATGTGATTCAGAGTGAAGAGAGCAAGGAAAGAAAAACTAAATTGAGCAAGCATAGTCCAGTAAAAGAAGATGCAAAAGTGGTTGTTATGGTGTGAACATTCCCTCCAAAACTCACATTGAAATCTAATTACCATTGTAGCAGTGTTGACAGGCTGGACCTTTAAGAGGTGATTAATTACATCATGAAGGTTCTGCCATGATGTGTCGATTAATACTATTATCAGGGAATGGGTTTGTTATAACAGGGGTAGATTCCTTATGAAAGAACAGTTTGGCCCCCATGCTTGCTTGCTTCTGCCTTCAGCTATGGCATGATGCAGCACAAAGGCCCTTGCCAGATGTGGCCCCTTCATATTGAACTTCCTAGCCTCCAGAATCATGAACTGAATACATTTTCTCTTCTTTATCATTACCCAGTCTTCAGTATTCTGTTATAGCAACAGAAAATCAACCCAGATGAGTGGTTTAAAGATAAGAATTATTGGGACCAGCAAATGGCGTAATGGTTACATCACCGGACTCTCGCATGGCTGTCTGCAGTTCAAGTCTCAGACCCAGTGACTTGAAACACGCCAGGCATGTGTGGATGTGTGCTCCAAATCTCAAGAGGACAATGGAAGAGAAGGGATTGTGGCATAGGGTGATTTCTCACTTTCTATCTCTCTATCTCTCTGACAGTTGCATCTGCCCAATAGCAAAAAATCTGAAAGAATTTTTTTTAAATAAGAATTATTAGAGTTATTTGTTTTTAGAGAACCCGGGCAAGTGTCCTATGCAATGTGGTATTTGGATACTTAGTAAATGTGGAGGGGATCAACAGGCTCTCTGGATTCCATATATGAAGAGGAAAGAAAGAAAACCTGGCCAAAAAATGAAAAACAAAAAACTACAAACCAGAATGTAAACAACTACCTAGTCAGTTGCCTCTAGAAGACAATTACCAATTCACTACTGAGGAAAGGAAGGTGTTGAATTATCCAGAACGATACCTGTATAAAGCTATAATAATACATACATTTGCCTTAATTGTACAATAAATCTATATAGGAAGGCTTATATTCAACTAATATAAAAATAAGGAAATGTTTCTGGATTTGCTGATACATTGGCACTGAGCTAAACTCTTGCATATCCATCCCCTACTGCACTAGTCATTTTGGCTCCAGAGTCTCAAGTGGGCACCACACTGACAAGATGCCTGCCCGAGACCACTATCCGTCTACATACCTGCCTTTCTACCAGTCAACCATACAAATCTCATCCCTAGGCCTCTCTGTTCAGAGCAGGTCCAGACCAAGACAGGGGAAACAGCACCCATGATGGTGACAATTGTACCGTAACAGCCAAATATTAGGTATCAATTGTATCTTAAAGGTCAGTGCATTCCAAAAGTTACCGTTATATGTCTATTTACTAGTACTTTAGCCTTTGTGACATTCTTTTTTTCCCCTGCTATACAGTGTTCATTCTCTCCAGAGACAAAGAAAACTGAGAAAACACAGCACCACCACCACCCCCCGGGGGAATAGCCACATTCCAGTCCCTTCTCATCCTTCTCCTTTTGGGATTTTGGACATGCACATACACCAAGTCCAGGACTCAAACCACTCAGTCAGCCAGGTGGAAGTGAAATCATTTGTACACGAGAATATCAAACACTTGTGTATTAATACCTCTGAAACCTTTTTCTGAAAAGCATCAAATAGTCACATCACTGAAAATGGAGACAGGACTATATAGCGTACCTGCATTAGGATTTTCAGACGATCTAGTGGTGCCGTGCATGTTCGAGCACAGGCACCAGCTACCCCTCCAGCCAACAGATACTTCCACAACATGCCAGACTTTTTTTCTTCGTCGATGAAACTTTGAAAATTCCATCTATCTGCCATGTCAATTCCCTATTAAAACAAAATAAGCACAAGGCTTTCCACTTCACCGTTTCCATTTGGCCACATTTTAATTCACAAAAGTAATAATATTCCAACACTATTTCCAATGACCTGCCCCTCCTTTACAAATATCCCACCATAATCTTGATATCATTTATTTCATTATAAATTATAAACACCACCTTATATTATTATCCTTGTTCTGCATACTACTTAGGCTTTACAGGAAATTATGAGAAATACATTAAAGTAATTTACATTCATTTTCATAAATAATTATCTCAAATGAAAATGTTATCTCCTCATAATATTTAAATAATGACTTAAATATCTCAGCTCCACCATAAATTAGTGTCAGCCTTTCCTAAAATATAGTGCTTACCAACTGGTACAATTTTAAGTAACTCAGAAATCAGCTTAAAATACTGTCAATTATAAATTAATAATGCCTAGTTTTATGATCATGTTTAGGATAATCTTTATTCATGTAGACATCTATATGATTTTCCATTGAGAATTATTTGTCTAATATGGAATACAAAAAGAACAACTCTTCAAATTCTAATATTTTTAGCTATGGCGAAACAGGCTACCCAGATTACTAGGGAGGTAGTAGCTATTTAACAGGCAATAATGTAAAAGTATCACGATCTAGTAATTCCCTATTTTATTTTTTTTTAGACAGACTCTTTGCCTGTAACAAAATAAATATAAAAGTTAGGCATTGAAAAGCAGTTTTGGGGGCCGCCAGGTGGTATGGTAGTTAAGGGCACTGGCTGACCACGATTTGAGTCCTGGATGTAGCAGCTTGCTTTCTACTTTCTCTCTCTCTCACTCTCTCCTTCTGTCCTACTCTGGTAAAATTAAAATAAAGAAATAAAAGTTAAATAAAATAATTCTTTAAAAAAAAAAAAAGAAAAAGAAAAGCAGTTTTTTTTTACATCTTTACCAACAGTGGAGGTGACAAAAATCTGAGCTTCTCCATGTGGTGCCCAAAGTAGACAATAAGTTCAGCTGGATGTGGAGCACTAATATGCATTTTGGGGACGTCTAGAAGATTGTTCAAATATGTCATAATTAAGAACTTAGGTTCAGGCCAGTGAACAGTGTTGTGGTTAAGACACTGGACTCCCATGAGGCCAACCGTGGTTTAAGTCCTGGACCTGGAGGCTTGAAAATCACACCAGGCATGTGTGCATACATTCCAGAATCCCAGAAGGAGACTGGAGGAGAAGGGATTATGGCATGGCCAACCCTCCTAGGGAGTGATTTTTCACTTTCTCTCTCACTGTCTCTCTGTCCAGCAAGCACATGGGCCGATGGCAAAATCCTGAAAAAAATAATAAAAAGCCTAGACTTGAGAATCTATTGGGATTCAAGTTCTAACCTCCCTAATTTTTAATTGAATGACCTCTCTGGGTCTCAGTTTCCTCAAATGCAATGTGAAGGCAGTACTAATCCACAGTACTTAGAGTTGCTAAGATTAAAGGACTCAAAAGTGTATCAGGTACTTAGCACAGTGCTTAGCACTAAAAAACCACTCAGTGAAAGTATGTACTCCTATTACCAGTTAAACTGTTGGGTAGCAATTTGGACCTTTAAGTGCCTGTGCCTGTGCCTGTGCATAGTCACTAGCAACAATGTGACTAGCAAATAAAAACTAACATTTACAGAGCAAAGCCAGCACTGAACAGGTACATGTGTCTTTAATTTTCATAATATTAGGTTGTCAGGAAAATCATGACACATTTTTGCATAGAAAAATGTCATGACTTTCCCGACAACCTAATAACTCTAAAAGACATTTATTATCCTGTCTTTGTGGTTAAGAAAATCAAGGCCCAGAGAGATTAATAATTTACCCCAACCCATCTAGATAGTAAGTGGCAAAACTGGAATTCAAGCCAACACAGCCCAAATCCAGAACCTGCACTCCTTCACTCTGCGAAACTGGCTGCTTCCTACCTCTGTGCTACCCGGCTATGCTGGCAAACAAATATACTCCTTGTGAAATTACTGTAAACCAGACAGTGAACATGTTCCTTGGAACAAATGAATCATACTTTGTCAGCACTATACCCCAAAGGCAGTCTATTAAGTTAAATTTATATTATGACTTTTTTTTTTTTTTTTGAGAAAGAGAGAGAGGTTTTTGCTATAGAGCATGTGAGCTTGCCAGAGTGACAGAAAGCAAGAAATCACCTCCCAGGGGTTATGGCCACACTGCAGTCCCTTCTCCTCCATTCTCTTTTTTTTTTTTTAGAGGTTTTCGCTATAGGGCGCGTGCGCTCGCCAGACAGACAGAGAGAGACATAGAGACAGAAAGCGAGAAATCACCCCCCAGGGGGAATGGTCACGCCGCAATCCCTTCTCCTCCCTTCTCCTCTCGGGATCTTGGGCACGCATGCACACGCGCCCAGCGTGAGTTTTAAGCCACCGGGTCCGGGACGCAAACCACGGTCAACTACGTGGGAATCCAGCGACATAGCCATTACACTAACTGCTGGTTCCCTCCATTCTCTCCTTGAGTCTTTGGGTGCACATGCCCAGCGTGAATTTCTAGTCTCCAGGTCTGGGACTCGAACCATGATCTGCCATATGGGATTCCAGTGGCATAATCATTACACCATCTGCTGGTCCCAAATTTATATTATGACTTTTAAAAGTTATCACAAACACTATGTCATTTAATGTCCAAAACAGCTATTTTCCATGTACTTACCTTCATTATCAAACAGGAAAATTACACTATTCTAGGCATACAATAAATGTATTTTTTCATTGACTTAAATTTCCTTTCATTATCTTTTTTAAAAAAAAAGAATGCAGAGTAAAAACTACTCAAAGGATAAGATTATATCTTAATGATTCTTTTTTTTTTTTTGGAGAGGTTTTTGCTATAGGGCACGTGCGCTTGCCAGAAAAGCAGAGAGAGACAGAGACAGAAAGTGAGAAATCACCCCCCAGGGGGCATGGCCACACCACAATCCCTTTTCCTCCGTTCTCCTCTCAGGATCTTGGGCATGCACGCACATGTACCCAGTGTGAGTTTAAGCCACCAGGTCTAGGACTCGAACCGCGGTTGACTACATGGGAGTCCAGCAACAGCCATTATGCCAACTGCTGATCTCAAGGATTACTTTCTTTTTAAGTAAAAGAATGTTGGGGGCCAGTCCTAGCCCAGTGGTTAAAGGAGCTAGATCCCACTTATCTGACCATGGTTCAAGTCCCAGTCCCAGTGACTTGAAAAGTACACTGAGCTCATGTACATTCAGGCTCCAGATCCCCATGGGTTGGAAAGATGGAGAAGAGATTGAGAAGTGGACACGTACCACCGAGGGGTGCTTTCTCCCTCTCTGTCTTCTTGTCTCTCTCTGACAAGCACACACACACACACCCTGGCAATGAAAGAAAGAAAAAGAGAAAGGGAGAGAAAAGAATGTTGGGGCCAGCAGATGGCACAGCAGTTACGACGCTGGACTCCCACATGGTTGTCCTGGACTTAGTGGCTTGAAAATCAAGCTGGGGGCACATGCATGCATGCCCAAGATCCCAGAAGGAAAATGGAGGAGAAGGGATTGTGGCATGGCTGTCCCCCCTGAGGGGTGATTTCTCATTTTCCCTCTCACCATCTCAGTCTCTCCCTCTAGTGAGCACACATGCCCCAAGGCAAAAACTTCTAGAAGAAAAAAAAATGTTGGTAACTAAAGAGTGTTTAAGTGTCACAATAAGAGTTAAGACACGCTGAGCTAAGGCTGTGGTGGAATGACTGGCTTTGCTGCCTGTCAATCGTCACGTGGTCCTCCTGGTCCTCTCCGTTTCGCAGAGGACTCTTATAAATACAGGAGACTCTGTGTAGCTTCATGTAAACTTCCTTTTCATTTAGTTTAACTTCCTCAGAAGGCAGTTTAGAACAATTAGGTTAAGTTTTGCTTTTATACATTTGATATTGGCATCTTGGAATTTGAGGAGTAATAGGAGAGGGGATGAGGGCAGATTGCTATTTATTACAGCTTGTTCTTAAATACACAGACTGTTAAAGTTGAAATGTTAAAGAAAAACAAAAGAACCATAGTTTTCACAAAGAAACCACAGGTGTAACAAGCTTTGAAATACAAGTTTCACTTCAAAGTCCTTTTTTTCTGCCAATAATAACAGCTAATTGTGTTGAAATGTGGATCCATTTCTATTTATTCTAAATGCTTTACACATATTAACTTAAGTTTAATCCTCACAACAACATGCATCAGTAATATTCTTAGCCTCATTTTACAAACATTAAGAAACTGAGGCAGGGCTGGCATGTGGCATGGTGGTTAAGGCACTGGACTCCCACATGGCCGACCGTGGTTTGAGTCCCAGACTTGGTAGCTTACTTTCTCTCTCTCTCTGTCTCCCTCATCAAATTAAAAATAATAATAACAGGGACCAGCAGATAGTGTAATGGTTATGTCACTGGAATTCCATGTAGTCAACAACAGTTCAAGTCTCAAGACTCAGCGACTTCAAATTCACACTGCGTGCATGTGTGTGTATGTGCCCAAAATCCTAAGAGAAGAATAGAAAAGGGATTGTGCCATGGCCATCCCCCCTGGTGGTGGTGGTGGGGGTGATTTCTCACTTCTTTCTCTCTGTCTCTCTTTCTCTGGCACCCTGTAGCAAAAGTCTCCCTAAAAATAAATAATACCATAATAATAAATAAAATTAAATAAATATTTTTTTAAAAAAAAAGAAAAGAAACTGAGACAGGACCGGCCTATGGCCTGATGGTTAAGAAAGCCAGATACCACATAGCAGTTCAAATCCTGGACCAAGCAGCTTGAGAAAACACAGGGCACATGTATGTGCATGTCCAAAATCCTAAAAGGATGGAGAAGTGGAAGAGAAGGGATTGCAGCAAGTTCATGCCCCACTAGGGGATGCTTTCTCCCTTTCCCTCTCAGGTGAGTACACACACCCTCTGACAAATTAAAAAAGAGAGAAACTGAGGCAAAGAGATGTCAGAGCTCGTCGGGTGGAAGTAGGATCTAAACCTAGGCAGACTAGCTCTAGAGTCCTTGTTGTGGATCACCAGCCGGCACTCATTAATGACTTCCAGTGTACCAAATGTTTTATATTCATAGTCTCTAATCCTCACATCAATCTTACCAATAGGTGATATTATCATTCTTATAACCAAAAACAAAAGGTCAAATAATGCCCTTAAGGTCACAGGGTCAATAAGAGCAGTAAGAAGCACACCGGGTAATAAAACTCTAGAATTCATGATCTTGAATGTTACACTAGCCTCCTTATCTGTACTTCACTCTCTGCTTTAGTTTCTTCATCTATAACATAGGGATAGTAATCCCTACCCTAAAGAGTTGTGTAATAAGACATAAACAGATGTAGATGTGTATGTGTGCTTAATGTGACATAGAAGAACAATGTAAATTATAATTTAGAATTATCAAGCAATTTTTTTTTCCTTTTTTGCTTTTAAAAATTTTCCAAAGGGCATGTGCACTTGCCAGGGAGAGAGAGCAGAGAGAGAGAGAAAGAGAGAGAGATAGGAAACACCCTCTATTCCCCTTGGGAATGGTCATACACAGTCCCTTCTCCTCCGTTTCTCCCTCCTCTGAGGATTTTCAGCACACATGCACATGTGCCTAGTGTGTTTCTCAACCCACTGGGTCCAAGACTGGAACACCATAGCTGATCATTTGGGACCCAGTTGCATTAACCACTACACCATGGGCTGGCCTGCAAAATTTTTAAGAAACTTCAAGACTTTAAAGAAATTATTAAGGACAGACCTCTAAGTGTACTTATACAGACTATAATATGAACCTTGCCACTTTTTGAAGATATTTTCAGTTATGTTTTATTCATTCATCCAACAAATATTTATTGGGACATTACTGTATGACACAGCAATCAGCAAGTCATAGTTCCTATTTTCAGAGAAGTAAATGAGCAATGATAATACAGAATGATGGTATAGGCGTAATCACCTCTCAAGCATGTACTTATCCTTGATAAATGAGTGCCTTTTGCAAGTTGAAACTTTGGTTAAAGTAGATGTTATAAGCCATTTTTTTCTGGCATCATACAAATTTCTGAAGAAAAAATATTCTACAGTATGTCTCATTTACAGAGAGATCTTACTAGCTAATTCTCCACCTGCATAATTTTCTTTCTTTTTTTTTTTTTTTTTGGAGAGACTTTCGCTATAGGGCGCATGTGCTCGCCAGACAGACAGAGAGAGACATAGAGACAGAAAGCGAGAAATCACCCCCCAGGGGGGATGGTCACGCTGCAATCCCTTCTCCTCCACTCTCCTCTCGGGATTTTGGGCATGTACGCACATGTGCCCAGCGTGAGTTTTAAGCCACCAGGTCCAGGACGCAAACCGTGGTCAACTACGTGGGAGTCCAGCGACATAGCCATTACGCTAGCTGCTGGTTCCCGCTGCATAATTTTCTAATAGCTTGTTATGCATTACATTTTTTATGCCCATGACTCATGGTATAAAATATACAAATTAAAAAAAAAGACCACTTACAGTAAAACGGTGCCAGTAATGGGCAATTTCCTCAACATCTCTTTCAGGTTTAAATAAAAAATGCTTCCTCCATTCATCCCAGTCCACTGTCATCGAACCATCAATATCCATGCTGTATATTTTTTTTAAAAAAGAATATGCACAAATACCAATTATGATTTATAAATTTCAAATGACATCAAAATTACATATTGCATTCTTTTTTCAAACAATTATTTATTTATTTAATTCCATTTGTTATTATTATTTTTTTTTTATTTGACCAGAAAGAGACAGAGAGAAAGATAAAGAGAAAGTGAGAAAGCAAGCTGTCAGGTCCAGGATTCAAACTGCAGTCAGCCATGTGGGAATCCAGCACCTTTTACCACACCACCTGCCCACCAACATCTTATATTCTCGAGGTCAGAAAATGTGGGTTATAGCCGAACTTCTCCCGTTATTACAAAGTCCACCTTACATCTCCAAACTCCAGTTCATATGAGGATATTTTCTCTAACACTGAGTTATTAGAATATTAAATGAGATTATGTATATGAAGGTCATGTAAATTATAAAGAATTATAAAACCATAAGTCATTATTCCTGCATCTCAATCTCCTAGCACTTCTTCTTAAACATCTTTCTTTCTTTCAATCTTTTTTTTTCTTTTTTTGGAGAGGTTTTTGCTATAAGGCACGTGCGCTCATCAGAAAGACAGAGAGAGACAGAGAGATAGAAAGCGAGAAATCACCCCCCAGGGGGGATGGCCACACCACAATTCCTTCTCCTCCATTCTCCTCTTGGGATCTTGGGCACACATGCACATGCGCCTGGCGTGAGTTTAAGCCGCCGGGTCCAGGACTTGAACTCGCGGTCAACTACGTGGGAGTCCAGCAACATAGCCATTACGCTAACTGCTGGTCCCATTCTTTCTTTCAATCTTATAACCTCATCTGGTAACTTCTTGTAACATCTCTAACAATAGAATAATGGATGACAATTACCATTTTTGGTTACAGATCTTAAAAGACAATTTTTATTTTCTATGATTGTAAAATATCAAACGTCAAAAAATTCCAAGTATCCATGGAAATATGATTTCTCTTTTATTTGCATTTTTATTTCATTTTCTTTTATACATTCAATCATATTATTTAGCTTTCAAAGTGACTATTTCAACATGTGAACATTTCTCCCTAGTCTATTTTATAAAATATCTCCAACAGATAATACCACATTTCTTTGTCACATTAATGCTTTGCCTCCCTATTTTCCTTGTAAATGTCCTGCCTCAGACCATACTCTTTCACACACACTATATCTGGTACTTATACCCATTTACTGTGTTTCTATATCCTTTATTCAATCAGTTTCAGTCATTGAGTGCGGATACTGGGTATATAGTAAGTGGGGACATACAATGTCTCTCCTTCATAGCCTGACTTGCTTCACTCAGCAATAAATCTTCCATATTCTTCCACTTTCTGTCAAAAGCCAGGGTTTTGTTGTTTTTTTAATGGAAATATGATTTATATTCATATTAAATAGTAGTGTTAAAGTCCATTTTAAAAATTACCATCAAAGAATCTGTCAAATCCCTGAATGAAATTAAGAATTTGAAAGAAGACAGTAAGATATATTACTTTGCTGATTTTTTTAGAGAGGTGTTTTTGTTTTTGTTTTTGTTTTTGTTTTGCTATAGGGCACATGAGCTCACCAGAGAGACAGAAAGACAGAAAACAAGAAATCACCTCCTGGGGGGCAGGGATGGCCATGCTACAATATCTTCTCTCCTCCAGTCTCCTCTTGGGATTTTGGGCACGCACACACATGCACCTGACATGAGTTTCAAGCTGCCGGACCCAGGACTTGAACCACAGTCGACTACGTGGGAATCCAGCAACGTAACCATTATGTTACCTCATTTCTCCCAATACGTGAATGTTCACGCAATCTCATCTCTAAAACAAATAAACAAAAAACTCCTGACCCCACTTTCTCCACTATCTCTCTTTGCCTTTGCAACAATACTCCTTAAAGAGTTGTCTATCTTCTCTTCCAATTTCTCTGTGTCATTCTCTCTTGAACCTAGACCCAACATACATCCATCAGGCTCTCACTCACATTACTCCACCAATGGCATTCATAGTGTTAAATCCAGCAGTCCATTCTCTGTCTTCATTTTAGTCTATCAGCGGTATGTAACAGAGAAAATGCTTCTTGAAATGTTTTCTTTACTTCACATCCAGAAAGTTTTCCTCTGCCTGTTCTTTCTGACTCCTTTACTGGTTTCCTCTCATCTGCCCTGCACCTTAACATTAGAGAATACCAGGACTCCAGGTGTTCTACTCCCTCCCTAGTCATCTCTTCTAGTCTCTTGGCCTTAAATGCTATATAACCAGCCCATGACTCCTGAACCTCTAGCCTGAGCAATCCTTTGAACTCTGGACTCCTATTTAAAGTTGCCTACTTGACATATTAACTAGGTTGGATGATTGGTAGCTGAAACTTTAAAAGAACAAAACTAGAGTCTGATATCCATTCCATCCTAAACCTGCTTCTCTCGCAGTCTTACCAATCTCAATACAGAGCAAATTCAGTCTTCTTTTGTGCAGGCAAAAAAATCTTGGCATTATTCTTTATTATTCTCTTTCTTTCATACTCCATACACAATACAAAAGTAAATCTTGGACCAGCAGTTAGCATAATGGCTATGTCGCTGGACTCCCACGTAGTCGACCGCAGTTCAAGTCCCGGACCCGGTGGCTTAAACTCACGCCAGGCACATGTGTGTGTATGCCCAAGATCCCAAGAGGAAAATGGAGGAGAAGGGATTGCGGCATGGCCATCCCCCTGGGGGGTGATTTCTCGCTTTCTATCTCTCTGTCTCTGTCTGTCTGGCAAGCGCACGTGCCCTATAGCAAAACCTGTCCGAAAAAAAAAAAGGTAAATCTTGTCAGCATTTCGAAACATATCCAGCACCTAAGCATTTATTAATCTTTTCCATCCTGGTATAAGCCACTCTCAAATTTTGTCTGTGTATTGCAAAATTATTGTCCTAATTGATCTCCTTGCTTTCACCCTTGCCCCTACAAAGTACTCTCAATACACCAGCCAGAATGGAATGTTTAAATCAAGTTAGATCATGCCACATCTCTGTTTTAAACCATCAAATGACTTATCAAAGTAAAAATCCAGAGTCTTTACAGTTTCTTGTAAGAGTTGTGTGAGCTGCAGACCAGGAGGTGGCGTGGGAGTTGAGGAGCTAGACACTCCCATGTGGCTGACCACAGTTCAGGTCCTGGACCTTGCGCCTTTCTTTCTTTCTTTCTTTCTTTCTTTCTTTCTTTCTTTCTTTCTCTCTCTCTCTCTCTCTCTCTCTCTCTCTCTCTCTCTCTCTCTCTCTCAATCTGTGTGTGTGTCTGTTTGTCTGTCTGTCTCTCTCTGGTCAAGTTAAAATTGAATGAATGAATGAGTAAATAAAATTAAATTTTAAAAAAAAGAAATTGGCTTAAAAAAAAAAAAGAGTTGTGTGAGTTGGCTATCTGTTACCTTCTTAATCTCATCTCCTGCCACCCTCTGTCTCATTCACTCTATTCCAAACACACTGGCCTCTTCTCAGTGCCCTAACCCTGTCACATATACTGCCCATATAGGCCCTTTGCTCTTGCTATTTCCTCTGCCTGGAAGGCTCTTTCATTCCCTTGCTTATCTCCTTCAGATCTCTACTCACATGTCATCTTCAAAGTCTTCTCCACTCACCATATCTAAATGTATGTCAACACATATGTGCTTGCATGTACACCCATGCACCATACACACACACACTGTCCCCTCCCCTTCTTTATTTCTCCCCTTAGCACTTATCACCATCTAACATACATAGTTTAGTTACGTAATGAAAAATTACTCAAGATGTCAAAAGCACAACTATAAAAATTTTTTAATTGGCAATATAACTACAATAAAATTTAAACTTTCTGGGGGGTCCAGATGGTGGCACAGAGGTAAAATACAGCACTCTGCAGGGCTGACCCTCCTAGAAATTCCTCCCTCTCTCTCTGTCTCTCCCTGGCAAGCACACGTGCCCAAAAGCAAAAACTTTTTTTAAAAGGACATATATAGTAAAATATATGCAAATATAAAAGTCTGTATGGGAATACGGGAATGATAAATTCAGGATGGTGGTTACTTCTAGCAAGAGGGAAGGAAATAGATTTATAGAAGTCTACACTACAAATATGAGCTGTCTATAATATTGTACTTGTTTTTAAAACTTTGAAACACTGAACTAAACATGGTAAAGTATTAAATATAACAAATCCAATTATGGATTTGGTTACTTGTAATATTATTCTCTTTATTTTCCTACATGTGATTCTGTACAAAATAGTTTACTCAAGTTAGTCTTATCCCAGGAATGTTCGAGTATAGGATGTGTGTGATATACATTAAAGTAACATCAGAAAATTTGTTACTATAATTCATTATATAAATAGATTCAATGGCAAAAGGAGCATAGTTTGATAAAATTCATCCTTTTTCCCTGATAGCATACTCTTCTTTGTTTTTCTTCTATACATTCCTATCACAGTCCTTGCCAAACTGCAAGGATTGCCTCCTCACTGCACACGTATTTGTACGCACACAACTCACACGCATACCCACTGCATTATTCACTCTGTAAGGACCGGCACCAAGACTGCCCTATTTGCCAGTGCATCCTCATTAACTAGTACATGCCTAGAAAAAGGATCAACCAATATTTGATTGATACATAATTTGGTTATTTGACTAACTGATAAAAGTATATGGTCTTACAAAAAGCAATAAATATATGCACTAAAATAATATCAGGGGGTTAACACTGGGTAGTACAGTATGGTGACCTTGGGCAAATTACTTAACCTCACTATTTAACAACTTCCTCATCTGTGAAATAAGGAAAATAGTAGACTTTGCCTCTAAAGTCTTCTGAGGATTAAATGAGATAACATAAGTGAAAAATCTTAGAAGAATACTAGCAGGTAGATGTTCAATAATTACCAAGTATTTGGGACCAGCAGTTAGAGTAATGGCTATGTCGCTGGACTCCCATGTAGTTAACCACGGTTCAAGTCCCAGACCCGGCGGCTTAAACTCACACCGGGCGCGTGTGTGTGTGGGCCCAAGATCCCAAGAGGAGAATGGAGGAGAAGGGATTGTGGTGTGACCATCCCCCCTGGGGGGTGATTTCTCACTTTCTGTCTCTATGTCTCTCTCTGTCTGTCTGGCGAGCGCACGCACCCTATAGCAAAAACCTCTCCCAAAAGAAAGAAAAAAAGAACAATTACCAGGTATTATTCGTATTCTTCTAAAAATTTCCATAGTTGTCACTTTTATATTTAAAAAGTGTTTAAATTAAATTTAAAAAATAAATTAAAGACCAGCAGTTAGCGTAATGGCTATGTCACTGGACTCCCATGTAGTCGACCGCAGTTCGTGTCCCAGAACCGGTGGCTTAAAACTCACACCGGGCATGTGTGCGTACATGCCCCAGATCCCGAGAGGAGAATGGAGAAGGGATTGCGGCGTGGCCATCCCCCCTCGGGGTTGATTTCTCACTTTCTGTCTCTCTGTCTGTCTCTGTCTGTCTGGCGAGCACACGTGCCCTATAGCAAAAACCTCTCAAAAATTTAAAAAATAATAATAATAATAATTTAAGTGGGGACATACAATGCCTCTTGGTCTAAAGGATATAGAAACACAGTATATAGATGTAAATACCAGATATAGTGTGTGTGAAAGAGGAGGGTCTGAGGAAGGGCATTTGGGGGAGGGACAGGGAGGAAAAGCATTGGTGGCACAAAGAGGTGTAGTGTTGTCTGTTGAAGATATTTCATAGTTTTATCAACTGTACTGGGGAGAGATGTTCGCCTGTTGAAGTGTCCATTTTGTAAGACAAATAATAATGTGATTGAATGTATGGAAGAAAATGAAATGAAAAAAAAAATTAAAAAAATAAATAATAATAATAATAATTTAAAATGTATATACATATATAAAAGTTTACCTTTCAAGAATCTTCACTGCCTCTTTTTCAGAAATATCTACACCTATTAACTTGAGAGCCTGGATAATTTCTGAAGCATCAATCACTCCTTTAAAGAAATGAAAAAAAAAGGATCAACTAGACAGTTTGAAAAGATACGGAGGCAAATAGTATTTAGTGCATTGTTACCACATCATAAAACATCAATATCTCACTATTTTATTTGCCAAGATATAAAGAGACTAGAGAACCCATGTTTCTCATGTTAATGAATAATACACCACCCTGGGGACCTGCAGTTAGCGTAATGACTATGTTGCTGAACTCCCATGTAGTCAACTGCGGTTCGAGTCCCGGATCCGGTGGCTTAAACTCAGGCCAGGTGCATGTGCGTGTGTGGATCCCGAGAGAAGAATGGAGGAGAAGGGATTGTGGCATGACCATCCTCCCGGAGGGGGTGATTTCTCGCTTTTGATCTCTCTGTCTCTCTCTGTTTTTCTGGCAAGTGCAGGTGCCCTATAGCAAAAACCTCTCCAAAAAAATAATAATAGTAATAATACACCGCCCTCCAACGTCACTCAAACCAGTCATTCTTGCCTCTTTCCTTCTCCTCACCTTGCATATCCAATCACCAATGTGATAATCTTTGTCTAATATATCTCAAATATCTCCCAAATCATGTATTCCCCTCACTCTGGTCCAGTTTTAGCTCAGGTATCAAGCCATGTTCCACACAAATCTGATGGTACCACTTCCTCTCTCCTGAAAATTCTTCAGTAGCATTCTACCTCATTACCTTTAGGATTAAATGCAGAAACCTTCCCAGGCCCCAAGGACTTAAATAATCTTGCCTGTGCCTGTCACACAGGCCTCATCTCTGTTCCTCTTGCTCGTGACTTCTGCCCTACTTGTCTTCCTCCAGTTCCTCAGATATGACTTGCTCTCCTGGGTGACTGCACCCTCCAGTGAGCTACGTTCTCTATCTGGAATACTCTTCCCCACTCTTCACTTAGCTAACTTGACTCATCTCTCAAAATACAGCACCACAGAGCTTGTTCATGTAAACACTTTACCAAAATGTTATAAGTTTTCCTCAGACTCTTAACTAAAAAGCGTATTATTCAGAAAGTATAGTCTTTTTTTCGTTGTATTTTTTTTTTTGGCTTTTATTTTGAAATAAGAACTATGTGAGTTAAAAATATTCCTTAGAATGGTCCAGCCCCATAGCCTAATGGTTAAGAGAGCCAGATACTATATGGCTAACAGCTTTTTGAATCCCAGCCCTGACAGCTTGAAAAACATGTTGGGCACATGTGCATACATGTCCAAAATCCCAACAGGATGGAGAAATGGAGATGGGATTGCCATGTGACCACACACTATCAAGAGGTTCTCTCTCTCCCTCCTTCTTTCTCTCTCTCTCGCTTGCTCTCTCTCTCTTTTTCAGCAAGTACTTGCACCCTTTGGAAACGGGGGAAAAATAAAATACACACACACAAATTCCTTAGAAAAAGTAACAGCAAAACAAATGACAGAATAATAAATCTCTACTAAAACATACTTTATGCTTAAAAACATATGTTTGCTAACAGTATAAAACAAACCATCATCATTCGTGTCCAAACTCTTAAAAGCCAACTTCAGTTGTTTCTCATTGTCTCTAAGGTACCGCATAAACGTGCAAACTTTCAGCCGATTATGTGTTTCAGTATCAACAGATTCTAAAATTATCTAGAAGAAAGAAAACATGATATTAGAGACACAGATTATGGTGTTTAAACAGTTGTACATTTATCTCGTGTAAATTATGTATTCGTTCATAAATTATCAGTGCCTTGGTTTTAGAGTAAAATCTCTAACACTAAAAGCAAAGAATTTCACATTTTGTATGCTGTGGTGATGCTCGGTGAATGAATGTAAATTAATTAATTAATTAAAAATTTAAAAATAAAAAAAGCAAAGAATCCTTAAGTATTCAAACTTCAAAGAAATTTAAAGGCTGTTTTTCACCTCAAGAGTCATTTATTTATTCTTTTACTCAGCAAATGTGTAAAACGCTAATCTAAATGCTTGGAAACAGAAATAGATCAGCCCTGCCCTCAAGAAGCATACACATTAATAAGGAAGAAAGACATATACACGATTATGTAAACAGTTAAGTATAAAATGTGCCAAAGCCACCACAATAGAAAGTAGTCAAATTTCATGGAGTCAGCAGGTGGCATGGTAGTTAAGGCACTGGACTCCCACATACCAAACCACGGTTTGAGTCCAGACTGGCAGCTTGCTTTTGCTCTCTCTCTTTGCTTCTCTCTGGTCAATTTGAATAAGAATAATAATAAATTAAATTAATTATTTAAAAAAAGAAAGAAAATAGTCAAAGTTCAATAGAGAACAAAGATGTGAGTGGAAAGCTCTGCAGGAGGGATAGAGATCAGGAAAGTCCTCATGGAAGAGGTGCCTAAAGCTTAATATAGAATGGATACTGGGACCAGCAGTAGGTGTAATGGTATGTCACTGGACTCCCAGGTAATCGACCACAGTTCGAGTCCCGAACCCGGTGGCTTAAACTTACATCAGGCTCGTGTGCGAGCGTGCCCAAGATCCCAAGAGGAGAATGGAGGAGAGAGGATTGCAGTGTAGCTGGGGTGGGGGGGAGGGGGGTATTTCTCGCTTTCTGTCTCTCTCTGTCTCTCTCTGTCTTTCTGGTGAGTGCATGCGCCCTAAAGCAAAAACCTGTCAAAAAATTTTTTAAATAAAGAATGGATAGCAACACACTATCTTAAAGCTGAGCATGGTGGATGTTTCCAGGGTAGCGAATCCCCAGCCTGTAAGCCCCACACCGCCTCTTGTGGGAGTCAGAGCCGTCTGTGCAGCTTTCTCCCTTTATCTCATTACCACGTCCACCAATGAGAATGCAAATTCTCCAGCTGCCCGTCTTAACAGATTCAAGAACAAGGGAAAAGACAGTACAGAAATGATGTGGCACAGAATAGAAGCTAACGTGGAGCTGAGGAAAGCTAAGAAGGGTGACCAGATGCTGAAGAGGAGAAATGTAAGCTCATTTCCCGATGATGCTCCTTCTCCGCTGCAGGAAAACCACAACAACCACGGCACTGTAAATTGGTCTGTTGATGACATTTCAAAGGCATAAATGGCAACAATTCGGAAAGCCAGCTCCAGGCTACTCAAGCAGTATGGAAGCTGCTTTCTAGGGAAAAACAGCCCCCCATAGACAACATCATCCGGGCTGGGTTGATTCCAAAATTTATGTCCTTTTTGGGCAGAAATGATTGTAGTCCTATCTGCATGGGCACTCACTAGCATTGCTTCTGGGACGTCAGAACAGACCAAGGCTGTGGTGGACAGAGGCGCTATCCCAGCGTTCATTTCTCTGTTGGCATCTCCCCACGTGCACATCAGTGAATAAGCTGCGTGGGTTCTAGGAAACACCATAGGGGATGGTTCAGTTTTCCGGGACCTGGTTATTAGGTATGATCAGTTGACCTACTGTTGGCTCTCCTTGCATTTCCTGATATGTCATCATTAGCCTGTGGTTACTTACATAACCTTACCTGGACACTTTAGAACCTTTGCCACAAGAATACCTCACCCCCGCTAGATGCTATTGAGCAGATTCTTCCTACTTTAGTTTGTCTTCTGCATCACGATGATCCATAAGCACTAGTAGATAACTGCTGGGCTATTTCCTACCTTACTGATGGTCCAAACGAATGGATTGAAATGGTTGTGGAAATAGGAGTTGTTCCCCAACTTGTGAAGCTTCTAGGAGCTACTGAATTGCCCATTGTGACCCCTGCCCTAAAAGCCATAGGTAATATTGTCACTGGGACAGATGAACAGACTTGGGTTGTGATAGATGCTGGAGCACTCACCGTCTTCCCCAGCCTGGTAACTAACTCCAAAATGAGTATTCAAAAGGAAGCTACGTGGACAATGTCCAGCATCAACGCCTGTCAGCAAGGCCAGATCCAGCAGGTTGTGGCCCACAGGTTAGTCCCTGTTCTTATCAGTGTGCTCTCCAAGGCTGCCTTGAAGACATTGAAGGAGGCTGTGTGGGCTGTGACCAACTACACAAATGGCAGAACAATGGAGCAGATTGTATACCTCGTCCACTGTGGCATAATAACCATTGATGAACCTCTTAACTACTAAAGACACCAAGATTATTTTGGTTATCTTGGATTCCATTTCAGGTATCTTTCAAGCTGCTGAGAAGCTAGGAGAAACTGAGAAACTTAGTATAATGATCGAAGAATGTGGAGGCCTGATAAAATTGAAGCCCTACAAAACCATGAAAACAAGTCTATGTACAAGGCTTCATTAAACTTGATTGAAAAATATTTCTCTGTAGAGGAAGAGGAAGTTCAGAATGTTGTGCCCAAAACTACCTCTGACGGCTGCACCTTGCAACTGCAAGATGGGACTCCTGGTGCCTTTAGCCTCTAGAAAGCACAGCTGAGGCACAGAGGTGTTTGTCGTGTGCTGTGTTTGGTATCAGTTTGTCTTAATGTTTCTCTACCAAGAACTCTTTTTAAATGTGGTTACTGTAGTACTTTTTACAACGAAACTATACTCGAACAGTTCCAAACTGTACATACTATATGAAGCTTGTCCTCCAAATCGGTTTCTTATTTCTATGTGGAATTTCATACCTTGCAACATCCTGTAAATAAAATTAAATTCCACCCTTTTCTTTAAAAACAAACAAACAAAAAAGAAGGGATAGCAAAAGATTAGCAGACAAGGGACAGGGAAATGAGGGATGTGGGAGCAGAGATTGCTGGCTGTCCACCAAATTTCTTCTCACCTTTGGGCACAAAGCTAAACTACATTTCTCAGTCGGCCTTCCAGTTAAGCATGGTTGTGTGAACAAGATCTCTCCAGTGAAATATGAGTGAGCAAAAGTAGAGACAACCACGTCAGAACCTGGCCACAAAATCCTCCCACAAGTCTTACTTCCTACTCATTCCACTGTCACCACTGAATGCAGATACTAAGACCTTGAGGTGGCCGAGCCACAGAGGGGAGAGGCCAGGAGAATACCCACCTAATTCAGTATCCATGAAGGCATCATGAGCCTGGACTTTTCCCACAGACTTTCTCTAGCCCCTGAAGAATTTTAATCAATAGGATAAAATAATCAGATGTACCTTTTAGAAGTGTCATATGGTGACATGTAGAGGAAAGAATGGAAAATTAAGGGCAGCAAGATTTTTTATAAGACGGTTACAATAATTTAGATGAAGTACGTAGTAGGAGACTGGGTTTACCAGGAGCAATGGTATGGAAAGGAAGGGACTTGGTTATGAAATATCTTAAAGAATTACACAAAACCTGTGATTAACTGGATATTGAGGCCAGGAAAAAGGAAAAATCTAGAACAATTGGGTTGTGGAACACTTCACCAAGATGGAATCATAGAGAGAAGTGGAGACACCCAGAAGCTGGGCAGAGTTATCAGTTTGTGAGCCACTAAGATGATAGCTGGAGTCTTACAAAGTAATCTTTCAAGCAACTGAAGATTAAGAAAAGATAAGGCAGAATGCACAGATTTACCTCTGTCAAAGGCCTTGACCACAAAGGGGAGAAAAACGGTAGGACCCTGCCTGTCTAGATGGAGGAGACAGGGTCAAAGGAGAATTCTTGTTATTAGAGAGGAAGGATTTGAAAAGATAGGATAAAGGAAGAGACATTAATTTTTTCTACTTAAAAGGAGATAAGGCCCAGACACTGTGGCACAGAAATAATGCAAGACTACAAGCCAAATGGGTTCAGACCCCAGGGTCAGTTTGGAAACATGGTAGGTACATGTGTGAGCACCCAGGATCCTGAGAAGCTAGAAGGCTATGGACAGGGGATCGCAGATTTACGAGACCCTTTTTTAAAGAATTATTTATTTAATTTTATTTATTCATTCATTTATTTTAATTTTACCAGAGAAAGACAGACACACAGAAGGAAAGTGAGAAGGCGAGCCACCAAGTCTGGGACTCAAACCATGGCTGACCATGTGGGAGTGTCCAGCACCTTAACCACCATGCCACCTGCTGGCCCTATAAGACCCTTTTGAGAGTACTTTTCTCTCTCTCTTTCTCACTTTCATGAATGGGCACAAACAGACACATACCTTTTATTATAAAACATTTTTTTACTAAAGGAGATGAGCTGACATGAGGTTGATAATGTCATTAGAACAAACCAGCCTTGATGGCCTAATCACTGTAGCACAAGCAGTAGGGTGCTACTGTGAAAGGCTGGAGCCACATGGAAGCCTGGGTTTGGTTTCTGGACCAACCTAAAACATGTAGGAGATAGTGGTGCACATCTGTAATGCTGGCTGACTGGAAGGTTAGGGCAAGTGGGATGTGGAAAGGTGAGACCCTGTCAAAAATCTTTATCTCCCCCACTCTCTCTCTCTCTCTCTCTCTCTCTCTCTCTCTCTCTCTCTCTCTCATTAAAAAAGGAAAAAGGGAAGGGAGAGAAGAGAGAGGAGAGGGGAGGGGAGAGGGGATGAGAGAGGAGAAGAGAGGAGAAGAGGAAAAGGAAGAGAAGAGAGAAAAGAAAAGAAGCAACTTTGAGGTCAGGAGGTGGCACAGCAGTAATGCAACTGGGCTCACATGGGAAAGGTCTTTTGAGTCCCGAGACCTTCCTGAGCCTGCCAGATACACGTATGTGCCCATGATCCAGGCTGGCTGGCTGGGATTGGGAGTGGGTCTCAGTTTTCATCCTTGAAAAGGAGAAGAAATACCTTACTCCCTGAGACTTACACCCCATTTCCTGAGAAAGGAAAGAAAGTGAGCATGGGCATAAATAAAGGGAAGATCATATTGGGTCATCAGAAAAGCCATGACATATTTTTCTATATTTTTTCTATGCAAAAATGTGTCATGACAACCCAATAGTTGGTGTATTAAATTTGTTGAGACTAAGTTCATTAAACAATATAAAGCGTTTTTTCATTTATTTATTCATTAATCATAGTAACAATCCTATGAGGTAAACACTATTATTTTCCCCATTTTTAGACGAAACTTGATTAGAGGGCCAGAAATCTGAGAGTTTGAGCCAATTCACCCCAATGTGTTTAGTGAAGTAAATGGCATTTCTCAATCTCAGCTCTATGGACACTTGAGACTAGATCATCTTTGTTGTCCTGTGCTCTGACACAGGTAACAGCATCCCTGACCATGTGGCCAACTGTGGGTTCAGAGCCCTGGATCAGCTTAAAAATACACAAGGCACAGGTATATCACACACACACCCTCTCATGGAAGATTTATTGCTGAGTGAAGCAAGTCAGGCTATGAAATAGAGACATTGTATGTCTCTACTTAACATATATCAATTGTCTGCACTCTATGGTAGAGACTGAAATACTGGAGGTCATAAAAGCATGGAAAATTATTATGGACACTGGGGAGAAGGGAAGAGTGCAGGAAGGGAAATTTGGGAAAAAATGGAGAAGACATTTGTGGGACACAGATATGGTTTGTTGCCTGTTGGTGATGTCATGAATAATATTCTCAACTTGCCTGCTATGTGACATACATCATGTTGAGTAAAATCTCTTTACAAACTAAATGATGTATAATAATTGAATGTATAAATAATAATTTTTTTTATTTTAAAATGAAAACTGGTGTAACAATTCCCTTTGAAGCACATGTACACCAGCACCCATACTCCCATGCTGTTGCTGGGCCTTACAGTCTCTTAGAGAAGCTTAAAGGAAATCAAAGACTGACTCTTTTTTTTTTTACCCTGGTGAGTCAACTAGTTAAATGTACAGCTGCAGAAATGAGGATCCTCTGAAAATACAACAGCTATTACTTATATTATCATTTGTTAGGCTTAATGGCAATTCTATACCGTAGTGTACAGCATGATACTATAATACAATATAACATAGATGTTTCTATGTGAGGCTAAACTGAAAATATGTGGTCGTGATCAGTGCATTAGTATCTGAACGTCACAGCTCTCTGCATGAGACGAACAGTAAGCGCATGAAAGAGCCCCAGGAGGCTGTGTGGTGTACACTTGTCCTGAGGCTGGAGCCTTGCGGAGCAAGCTTCACTGGCCACATTCCCCAAGCTCAGGATACCCTTGGAGAGAGCTCCAGATGACCCCTCACTGGCCACCAAGGGGGACTCTGAGAGTGCCCAAAAACTAACGGATTTTGGGAAGAAGCATTGGCAATTAGTTGTTCACTAGGGATGGAGAGGGGAATGTTAACCTATCAGGGCAGTCTGGCCTTGTACATATTTCAGCGACTCAGCCCCTACCCTATCTGTTTCAGGGTAGCAGGTCACTAATAGAAAACCAACATGAAGGAAGTGTTCCAAAAATGGGCTGCCTGAGTGAAGCAACTCACAGGGAAAGAACATCTGAGCCCCAAGGAGATCTGCAGAAGAGCAGGGGGCGGCTCGTCCACTCCACAGCCTGGAGCAACATACCCTCCCTGCAGCCCACCTTCTCGTCCTGGCCCAGAGGGATGCCCATGGCTTCCAGCTCGCGCTGCAGTTCAATGATGTCCACCATCCCGTCCCCATTGTGGTCCAGCTTCCTGAGGAGCTCTTCAAAAAGGCGGTCTGAGTTGTCTTCATGGCCTGTGGGCAACATGTAGCCCCACACCCGGTGCAGCATGGTCACAGAGCGCCAGGAGCCTGTACACAGAGTAGCACTCCTCTGCACGTAGCAACCACGGCCCCTCGGCGCTCCTCCGCAGCCTAGCAACTGCCCAGAACAGCGCGCAGATGCCACG